GAAAGTAGGAGTTCAATTAAGATGTATAACTTGACAAAAGTCAGAGGACCAGTAAACTAAAGAGGATTAATTCAAACTCAGAGTTGAATGCAGAGTCTGATCTTCCCACTCCCAGGACTGGAATATCCTTAAAACACAGGCTCCCCAGCTCCCCTGCAGTGTTCCTGGCACCAAGCATTTCCCATGGCAATGGTCACCAGTTCTCACAGACACAGCGCTCTGTGCAGCCAATGACCTTGATCGGACCTTGATCATCTACCTGCCACGCCCACCAGGCTTCACCATACAGGAAGGAAAGCTGGCTTTCATGTGCATACAAAGCCATCCCTGGTCTAATCTGGGCTCTTCTGTGGCTTCTCCAGCCTAAAGGCAGCCATGAAACTGCTCACAATTTGTACATGTGCCACACTACCTCTCTCCATTTGTCTCCCCACCTATACTACTTAGCTATGACCATTTTGAGAATCTTGGACACAAATATTTAAAAACAAAAAAGAAAGGATTCTGGAACAAGTACTTAATACTTAGAATTTTAAATTACAAGTTACAAAGTGAGTATTTACAAACCAAATCTTCCGTTCTAAATGTCAGTTTTAAGCATTTAAAAATATAATAAAAAAATTCTCACTTATAAAATTGACAAAAACATAAACAGTAATCTGGAATAAATTCAAAAATAATGCCCATGTTCTAAATGGAGAAATTTCAGGACTGTACTGAGGGGTAAAGTAAGATGTGTGAATGTAGAGACATCAACAAATTGCATGGAGGAAAGCACTTTTGTAAAGATGTAAGTTCCCATTAGAATAATTCAAAACTTACTAAATACTCCCATGAAAACTCCAATCTGATTTTTTTTAACTTTAACAAAATATTTTGGAATTCTTCAGGAATAATAAAGTCATAACACTAGACAAGAAAATTTGGGATGGAAGGAAAGAATCAAAAATAATTCAGACTGCAAATTATTAAATAAATTTTTACAATATGTAAGATATGGTGCTGGAGTAAGTAAGGCAGATTGACAGAAGGGATCCATGAGCTCAAAAAGAGACTCTAGTGTACATAAGTATTTTGTACAGGTGGGAATTCATATCAAAGAGAAAAGTATGACTTCAATAATTGTCCTGGGACAATCAGAGGATCACCTACAAAGAATAAATTCTATTCCTCTCATAAGGACCACAAGATAAATTACAGACCGTGATGTAAATATTAAAAAGTATTAATAGCAGCAAATACAACACTTTGCTCTTATTAACTCAACTTACCCTTACATTAACAAGTACTATTATCATCCCCATCTTAGAGATTAATAAAAACCTACAGAAGAGATTTATTCCATTATTAGAAAGTATTTCTAAGAATAATGTCAAAGATAAAACCCATAAGGAAGACATTTACTATCATATGAATATTTTGAGACACAACCAAAATAAAAATCCTCCTGAACAAAATGAATG